GGGGCGGGCCTCAACAGGGGGGGCTGCAGCTGGAGGGTGCCCAGCACCCATGAGGGGCATTTTTCCAGCTTGTAGGAAAAAAGAGGGGGGGAAAGGATGAGGATGTCAGGGATTTGGGGGTGGGGGCGGTGGGGGGGGATTGTTTTTTAACAGGGACCCCAAAGAGAAGGTGAATGAAGCACTGGCAGCCACCAGGACATGGGGGGACATCTCTTTATTGGACTCGGCGTGGTGCTGGAGGACGTGCGGTGGCCACCGGCACCTCTACGGACACAAGAGGTGCATCTCACGGGGGGCAGTGGGGAGGGCACCCCCCCGTGTCCATCTGCACCCCGAACCCCATCCTGCCTGGTGGGATGCCTGCATCCGATGCAGAAGCTGGATGGTGATGGTCCAGCTGGGATAAAAGAGGATTTTCCAGCCAGAGCTGGCAGAGAGAAGGAGGTAGGGGATGGAGGGGCTGGGGGGCCACCATGACCTCTGTTCCCTATGAAGAAATTATGGAAAAAATTTTAAAAAAAGCACCACAAACATCAATTTTTCCAACCGCCAGCAAGAGTTGCAGGGCAGGAGGTGGTTGGGATGGGGGAGATGCAATATTCGGGGTGGCCGTTGCGATGGGTGGGGTGGACCCCTTGGTCTGGGGCTTTGCATGGATGTGGGGTTGGGCGCGAAGCCACGTCCCAGAGAGTTACCTGTGGCATGAGGTTGGACGTGATGGTGGGGGGGTCACTTCTCCGTCATCATCCTGACGAACTCCTCGTAGTTGACCTGGCCATCGTTGTTGCAGTCGGCCTCCTTGATCATCTCGTCCACCTCCTCGTCCGTCAGCTTCTCGCCCAGGTTGGTCATGACGTGCCGCAGCTCCGCCGCGCTGATGTAGCCCTGACGAACTCCTCGTAGTTGACCTGGCCATCGTTGTTGCAGTCGGCCTCCTTGATCATCTCGTCCCCCTCCTCGTCCGTCAGCTTCTCGCCCAGGTTGGTCATGACGTGCCGCAGCTCCGCCGCGCTGATGTAGCCGTTGCCGTCCTTATCAAAGACGCGGAAAGCTTCACGGATCTCCTCCTCGCTGTCCGTGTCCCTCATCTTCCTCGCCATCAGCGAGAGGAACTCAGGGAAGTCGAT